TAACAGTAACAACACTAACAGTAACAACAGTACTAACAGTAACAACAGTAATAACAGTAGCAAAAATAGCATTAAAGTAACAGTAACAGTAGCAGTAACAATGAATGACCGAAGCAGCTGCCCTCAGGCACACCTGATGGGCTGCACCCACTATTCTAACTGCTTCATGGGCACCAAGTTATACATTTTCCCGGACACCTTCCAGGACACTTGTCCTACGCCCATTTTACAGATGCAGAAACGGACACTAAGGCTAAAGCAGGGAAGTGTCTGTTCTCACTGAGTACACTAGGGAACACATTCATCCTGCTCACTTTGTCATCCAGTTTCTTGGCCAGGAAGGACAGTTCTACGTAGCCATCGTTCCCCGAGATGTCTTCTGCTATCACCTGGGTGGACAGAGCATATCTGACTCCACTGATGAGGGCCTTCAGCTCCAGGCTGCTGAGCCCTCTCCCCACCGTGGGCCAGAGCTCAGTGTGACCAAGGCCTGGGAACACAGCCCCTGGCTACAGTCCAGACTGAGAATGGGCATCCTGAAGGGCTAAGATCCTCACAGGCACAGCGTGGTCCAGAGAGAAAAGCCGGACATGGAGGAGGGGGGTGCACGTGGGGCAGAGTGGGAGGCAGTAGCTGGGACCCTGACTGACTGGTCTCACCGTGATGCTGGACTTGCCGGCGGTCCGGCCTGACTTGAGGAGCAGAGCTCGCGTCACTTTCTTCTGGGCCACGATCTGAAAGTTGGAAGACAGGTTGGGGGAGGGACTTAGAAGTGAGAGTACCCTGGGCCCCTGGAAGTCTGCTTCAGCCCTCAGCCTGGCCTCCCCTCCCTGCAGCCCCATCCTTTGGAGTCTCCCTGTCCAGCCCCAGCCCCCTTTACTTTAGGAAGCCCCAACTCCTCCCCTGTGCCTCAGGTTCCCAGAATTTATAACCAGTGGATTCACTACCCAGGGCCCATGTCCTTAGCTGACCCTTCCTGCTGGCCTCAAGAGTCAGTCAACCCCCTACCCCCTTCCCCTCCCCACCCCGTGTAGACATTTCCCTTTCTTCTAAGAAGTCTCAACGACCCCCATCACCCACAAGAAGGCAGACATCAGGCAGGACACCACCTATCAGATGGAAAAACTGGTCCAGAGTGTGGCCAGATCGCCCACGGTCAGAAAGCAGCTGGCGGAAGCCCTCAATCCCCCCACAGCCTGGGCTGTCCCCCACTGCTCGCCAGGTCCTGTTGGCTGCCTCCCTTTTTGGGATGAATTGACATAGGGTCACAGCTGTATGCAGTGAATGTCTCCCACTGAGTACAGGGAGGTGGTCAGATGGGTGGGATTTGCTTAGCATCTAGGACCCCGTTTCCTCATCTGAAAATGGGGGCTGTTGGAAGGACTCCATGGCTTTAAACACACTGGACAGCCAGGATGGTCCCAGGCCAGGTCCTTGTGGGGAAGGGAGGGCAGGGAGGCAGACCCTTTTGGCTACTCTGAGCTCTGTTGCTCCTGTCTTGCTCACAAGGACATGTGTGTAGCCTGGGCCCGGGGTTGGATCCTGCTCTGCTGCTTTCAGGGGGTGGGGTGGGGCTTTCTAAATCTCAGTCCTCCTGTCTGCAAACTGGGGCGACAATGGAGCAGCTCAATGCAGGCAGCAGCGAGGTAAGACACACAGACACCATGGTGGACAAGAGAGGCCATCAAAAGTGAGAGCATACGGTGTGATTGGTTCATGGGTCTGGAGCCAGAAATCAAAACGGAGCTTCTGGGAAGGGGACCAAGGTCCAAGTGGGGTGACAAAAATGATCTGTGCCAATTGGGGGTTATAAGGTATCCTCACTCGTTGGTCCTGGGACCTGGGCACCATCCTTCATGTGAATAAGACCCCAGTGAAAGGGCAGAGGATTAAGAATACAGTCTGTGGAATGATTAGCACCATGTCTGGTACATGAAAAGACACTCTAATTAGTGACTTGAAGAAGCTGTAATTACACCGAGCGTGGGCAGAGGACACTAGTGAAGGGCGGGAACCCCAGTGTCCGGCAGGAGGAAGTTAGGTTCCTAAAGGACAGAACGGTTACTCTGCAGCCAGGCAGAGGAAAAGGGCTCCTTATGTAAGTGAGAAAAGCAGGTCGCACATCAAAGGGGACAATTTTTTTGTTTTTGAAAACAGAAAAGCTATATGCACATTTACTCCTGTAAGAAGGAATATCTTGGTAAGGGAAGAATACACAAGCACCCAGTGATGTGGAAGGTGCTGGGGAGCCGCATGGCTGGTGACAAAGGCAAGAGCCAACAAGCCTTTATATTTCTCTCATTTTGATCTCTATGAAGGTATCACCTTATTCACAATTATGTATTTTTAAAAAACAGATGAGGAATTTGTTAAGACAAAGAACTCTGGAGGTGGACAGGGCTTGAGCACTGAGTCTCATGGTGTCACCCCCCGACCCCCCCGTCTCACACACATACACTCAGTAGGTGTTGAATAAACTGCCATCCACGTCACCACTCTCATCGTGCCAGTTTCTCTGGACCAGCCAGGACCCCTCTCCCCACTCGCCTAAGATGGTGCCCACCTGCCCCAAGGTACACTCTATGCCCCCCAGGAAATCATCCTCCAGGTAGCTCAGGCCACCGGGCCCGTGTGTGTCGTAGACCTCGAAACGCAGCTTCTGCACCTCCTCGAAGTAGTAGTCGAGTGTGAAGACACGAGAGAACACGGGGTGCAGGCTGCTCCGGACCACCTCAGTTCTGTCCATCTGCAACCAGTGGCCATGAGTTGATTAGAGAGGGTCCCACCCAGGGGGGAGAACGTCTCGGCTTGGTCCCCCACCCTGCTCAGCTCTTGCTCTTCCCTGGATTCTTCATGGGGACTGGTTCAGCCACTGGACATGAGGAAGACCCAGCTCACTTGGCCATGCTCCATCAGCCCTGTCCCCAGCCTGTAGGGGACATGGTCATGTAGGACCCTGGGTGTCTCCTTCTCTGCAGTAAAGGTCTTCCCCTCTGGACATCGCCCACCCCGCACCCCAGGACCGCCTGGGTTCTGTTTTCTTTGCATCTTCTCATCTCTTGTGACTCACATTCTGTATAGAGAAATTGAGGCTGCAGGAAAGGGGCCTGCCCAAGAGCACCCGAAGTCAGGGTGAAGTCTAGTTTCATCTCAGGCCCACCTAAGCAGCTTTGTGCCCACTGGCTGGGCAAAGTGGGGCCAGAAAGAGCCCTTCCAGGCATAGGGCTCACTGGACACCACCCCCACCCCCCGCTTGGTCACTTCCGTAGACCACTATCATGGCTCTGAGAAGAGCCTCTAGGCTCACGAAGCTCTTAAGCTGCCGGGTGCTAAAGATGGAATTTGAGGCCAGGGTCCTCCTCTATAACTCCAGTCCCCAAGTGTGGCCCTGCACTGTCCGGGAATGCACCTGCGCTGGTGGCCCAGAGATGTTCACCAGGTCAAATGAGCCGTCAACAGAACCGTCTGAGGAAACAGACGCCTGCGCAGTGCTGCACACACAGGTCACGCTGTCTGCCAGGTCTTACCGCTCCTGTTCTGTTCTGTGCCTCCACTCGCGCCCTGGACCCCATCCCGGTCTCCCTGCCTCCTCCATGGAGACCCTCACTCCAACTTCCCTACCCCATCTGCCACGGACCCCTGCCCTACATCGTCCGCTCGCCACCCCATTCATCCCGCGAGCACAGGGTCTCGGTTCCCTGGTTGGAAAGCCTGCTACCCGCAGGCAGGGGGCGCGCTGGAGCGGCGCTGGATCCCCGCCTTCGTATCTGGGTCCAGCAGCAGGTTCGAGTCCCCCAAACGCTGCCCTTCGCCTCCCTCCTCCCCAGCCTTCCTCCTCCCCGAGCCTCCGTAGCTCCGCAGGCGCTCAGTCTTTGTCGCCCTTTGGAAATGAAGCCAAACGTGCGACTCATGCGACATGGTGACCATGAAAGCACCCCAAGCCATCGCGGAGACAGGACCCGTCCTCAGACACTCCCTGAAGCAGCCTCGCAGTGGCCGGCCCCTGAGGTTCTGGAGAAGTGACAGGAGCGGCGGGCGGGGATCTCCGGGCGTAGAGGGGAGAAGCCGGTGTCACCGAGACTCGCCCGCCCAGAGCCTGGTCCGAGGGGCACACAAGCCGCTCCGATCCTGGTCACTAACGAGCACCGCCAGGCTCTCAAAACCCACACTGGAGACTCCAAGAGGAGAAGAGACTGAGGGGACAGGTGGGGAGCCTCCCCATCTGGGGAACCTCGAATCTGAGACATTGAGTCCAGCTCCCCGAGCCCACACCCTGGCAAGCGAGCCCGACAGCCTCGCTCGGAGGGAAGGTTACCCTCAGTCCCTAAATCAGATCCGAGGCTCCTGCTCCGGGCGGGACCAAAGGAGGGCTAGCAGGGGAGTGTGAGCGCCAGAGGACCTGACCCTGCCCAGCTCCTGCGCCCCCAACTCGCCTCTGTGCGCTCTCAAGCCTCCAGCCCGCCCCTCGTTACGGACGCTTCACCCTGGCCCTGGAGCCCCACGCCTGGGCGTCACCGGCACTTGGGCGTCCCTGTCTCTGTGGAGACCCTCCCGGGGTTGACGCTCCAGTGCAGATCCTACACCCCATCCATTGTACCGGGCAGTCCTCTCCAAACCTGGGGACCGCTCCTGACCCCAGCCCTCGGACCCCTCTTCGTGGCACCGAGTCCTCAACACCCCATGTCAGTCCCTGCACCCCCCTCCAGCGCCCCATGCCGGCTCAGCGCTCCGCGGGCCCATTGCCGGCCCCTACCTGCACCCATTGGCCCTGCGATTGCAGAAACAGCACCACACTGGGGTCGGATTTAGTGAGGGGGTCACGGTCCAGCAAGTGCCTGCAGCTAAGCCGCAGCTCCACCTTAGAGGCGCAGGGCGCGGGCACTACCCCCGGGGCCGCAGCCGCCCCTCGCTCTGAGCGCGCGCTCATGCTGGTGAGGATCCGCGCTCGGCGCTCCAGGGGCGGCTGCCCGCCGGTCCGCACCTCCGCGCCCGGGAAATGGTGGTCCGGCCAGGCGTGGCCACGCTTCCAGGCACGCCCGCCAGCGCGGGCACACGTGGCTCCGCGGATGCCGCGCGCGGGGACGCGGGTGGGCTGAGGAGGGGGACAGGATAGGGGCGGAGCAGAGGTGGTGAGGCCAAGGATACGGAGCAGAAGGTAGTGACAGAGGAATGATGTAGGGCGGGAAGGGGGGCCCATCACGGTCACGTGGGTTCAAATCCCCAGTGTGGTCTTGTACTGGCTCCCAGAAGCTGGGTAGAAAGGTTTGGGGTCAGGGTTGGGCACCCTTCTGATGTTGGATGCCCCCATCCACCCTGCTTGCAGGGTCCCGGGAACCACAGTTTGCTTCTTGTGGAGATTCTAAGCTGCCCCAAGTCTGGGAACGGGGTTCCTCCCTCTGCAGCCCCTATGTGAGGCAACGGGGACCACTGAGCCCAGCTTCACACCAAACCCTTATAACCTCTCCCAGAGTCTCTTGGACCCCTGGATTTAATGATGTCCCATGTCAATCAGCAAGCATTAACGGACATGAGTTCGACTCCTAACCATAAGGTCAGCTGTTCAAATCCACCAGCTGCTCCTTTTTTGGGGGGGAGGTTTTCTGCTCTCGGAAATCCTATACAGGGTCGCTAGTTTTGCTCGCAGGTATCGTTAAAGGGGTGGGACCAAGGTAGGCAGTACTCAGTATCACAAAGCTTGGGTAGGGGAGGTAGGCCCTCATTATCCTGGGGGTCTGAGTGTGATCTCACCAGGAACCAGCCCCAGGCCTTACAGGAGTCCCGTCCACACCCGCCCCCACCGTTGTTCACTGAGCTTCTCCGGGTCTGGACCCTCGGTCTTGAAAGGTTCGGGCACCTGAAACAGAACGGAAGATGAGGTGTTGGCAGAGACGGTTCATTTTCTCTGCCAATTTCTGCTTAAAAATAGGGCGCAGACCTAGACAGAAAGCCTGGACGCTGGGCGCGAGGGGAGCCAGGAGGGCGGACAAGGGGACTACAGCCCAAGGGGAAGAAAGGAAGGGAGCAGAGACCAGGCCGTGGGAGCCCCCGGCCCTGTGCGCTCAGGTCACCCAGGGGTCAGCCTCAGCAACCAGGACTCCAAAGAAGATCTTGGGGTTTGAGCGTAGGACGGGACAGCCCAGCCCAACTAGGAACGATCTCCAAGGCCTAAGATGCTGACTGGTGGTCAAATGGTGGTATTGCATTCTGAGCGTGCCCGGAAGGCCAAGCCCTCCAACAGGCTTGCTTTGCAAGTGGTTCATGTTGGTTCTGCTTGCAGGGTTGAGAAGGTCGAGCTTTCTAAGAGTGCTGCACTGTAAGACTAGACTACGACATGCTCCTGCGCAGCGGCTAAAGAGGCAAGGGCCACACCTTTCCTAATTCCCCCAGGCCCTCAATAAAGCAAACCCAGGCCAAGAAAACTTCAGAAACCAGCGGACAGAGGGCTGACGCGCTCTGCAGAAAGCAGTCTAAAGCAGCTAATTCCATGGCCTTCCAGCTCCTGCTTCTTACCCAGCCATAGAGGAGTCCACAGTCTCGGTCCTCCAGCCTTGACCTAGAGGAGGCTCCTACTCTGCAGAACCTACACCTTCCCAGGACTGCCTGCTCACCTGCACTTGGGTGAGGTCCCTTGGCCTTGCTGAGATCCTTGGGGAAAATCATAAAATCCCTTTGAGGGACTAGGCAGGGATGGTCCCTAATGAGGGCGCATTTAGGGTCCTCAGGCAACCAGTCCTCAGGGAATTGTCCCAGAGGATGATGTCTCCAAGCTCAACTTCACAGCTGGACACTGCCCAGAACTTGTCTCGGTCCCCCCGAGGAGGACCGAGGTGGTCTACTGACATTGTTGTGTTCTGGTCTCCATGCTTCGCATGCTTCCTGCTCTGTGTTGAGTCACTTAATCCCCATCACAGACCATTTTACTGGTGAGAACACAGACATTAAGAAGCTGAGGAACCTGCCACACTAGTTTCCCGTGGCTACTGAAATGACTCACTCCACACTGGGAGGCTCTGGAGACCAGAAGATGGGAATCAAGATGTCAGCAGGGCTGGTTCCCTCTGAAGGTTCTGAGGGAGAATCTGTTTCCTGCATGCCTCTCTCTCAGCTTCTGGAGGCTCCTGGCAATCCGTAGTGTTCCTTGGCTTGTGGCCACGTCACTCTAATGTCTGCCTCCGTCTTCACATGTCCCCAGAAGAGGCCACCCTCTAGGCAGCAGGTGAGGGCAGGATCTGCCATCAGGGTTCTGCTCACTGCTGCCCTTGCAGGTTCCTGAGGACAGAAAGCAAGGGATAGGGGCAACAGGGATGGTGCCTGTGATGGTAGGGGTGCTGGGATGGGGGTGATGAAAGGGCCATATTCCCACCCTCTCGCTGCTGTCAACAGATGTTGCACAAAGTCTTTGCCAGTCCTATCTCCTCCACGACCCCCACAGAAGGCTTTGGGTAGGAGTTGGTTCTTTTCCAGGAGAACAGATAAGCTCAAAGCATGGTAGTTTGAAGTGAAGCCATTAATTGTCTCAGGATTTTATGGAATCCTGGTGTGGTGCTCTAGGGTAAGCACTGGACTGTGAACCACAAGGTCAGTGATTCAAACCTACCAGCTGCTCCTCATAAACCCTATACGGGGTTGCTAAGTAGGAACCGACTCAAAGGCACTTCAACAAGTAACAAGATTTCATGAGTCAGGACATTGGTTGGGCTCAGCTGAGCTCAATCTTCTTGGCGTGGCTTGGGCTCACCAGTATGCTTGGTCCTGGAGGACAGTGGAGCAGATTGACTGGACTCTCTCCCTCTCTGTGTGGAATTAGGCTTGTAGATGTGGACTCTGCCCATACATGTTGGACAGCTCTAAATGAGCTTGTGCCAAGAAGCCTAGGCCAAAGCTGCAAGCCTTCTGAATACCTGTTGTTGGAAGTTCTGGAATGTCACTCCTACAAGGCATTACAGGCCACGAGACCCAAGAGAGGAATAAGATTGGCCTCTCTAGGAAGGAAGCTGAAGAATTGTGTCTCTTTTCATCTAAATAGGAACACCAGTATTATTTTATAGAGGAAGAAAGTGAATCTTGGAGAGGGGAGGTCAGTCTTTCAGGGACTCAGCTGGTTGTCAAAGCCAAGACCTCAACCCAAGCAGAACCCAGCATGCACTGGGACCTTATTCAGCTCATGTTTCCTGAGCACCTACTACGTTCCAGGCTTGGTCAAGGCGGATGGCCAGGTCCTGAGCTGGCAGCCCAGATGCAAACAAGGAAACAGCCCTAATAGATAAACAGTCATGACTAAGGCTGTGAGAGCTGAGATAGCTTCTTTTATTAATAAAAACATATTTGCATGGCAAAAAGCTGGTGAGGTAAACATCAAACTGCCAATGGTGTTTATATCTGGGGGCTGGGTTTTTGTTGTTTCTTGTTTATCTGCACTTGCTCATGTTTCAACAAGGAACATGTGTTATTATTTCCTTCACAACAATAACAAAATCTATGAAGGGGAAAATCTCATTTCCTGCGTCTGGCCCAGCAGGAAAACACCAGGACATGGAGCCTGAGGGGACAGGCCTCCTAGTCCCTCTGGCCACAGTGGAGTCCCACAGCTTGGCGGCCTGTCCTTCCCGCTCAGGCTGCTGCCTTGCCAGAGGCCATTTCTACAGAAAATAGTAACTATGCCAATTCAATTTCACTTGCTGAATGCTTTCTCACAGCTGGCCATCCATGGAAACTGCGACGCTGAGCGGAAGCTGCTCAGTGGCGCCCCCTCCCGGGAGCATCGGTACCACGTCCTAGATAAGCTTCTGTGCCCAGACACCAAAGTGGGTCCTGGCTTTTCCTCTGAGGTTTCCTCCATCAGCGCTGGCTGTAGTGTGACCACCTGAAGCTGGGGAGATGCTATGTTGACATTTTCTCCAGACAGGGGCTAACATGTCCTATCACTGTGAGATTTGCTGAAGACCAGTGGGCAGCTTAAAATCTCTGGGCCTTTGCAACTCAAACTCCTGAACTTGGCATTGTCTTGACTTTCTTCCTCCTATGGTGGGGATAACATCTGTTATTTAATGTGGGCCAGCCATGTCAGGTGGCAGCGAGGAGCTGAACCTGCTCCCTGGTGTAACCCCACACTCCTACTTAGCAGCTACCCATCCCAGGCCACTCTAGAAGATTGAATTATGTCCCCACCCCAAATTCATATCCATCTGGAATCTCAGAACGTGACCTTACTAGGAAAGAGAGTGTGGGCAGGAGTCTAATGAATGATGTCCTTATAGGAAAAGGAGAGAGCACAGACACAAACAGAGACACAGAGGGAAGACTGTGGTCTGCTCCTGGTCCACCAGTGAAGAGTGGACAGACAGACCAGGGGGAACGTGCCCTGGTACCCAGCACTCCCCCCCACCCCAGGTCTCCCCAGGTCTCCCCACTTATGGTGCCCCCAAGGGCAGCTGCTGGTTTGGGTACAAGAGTCTCAGAGAGGTGACTGTGGTGTTCTCACTGTGAATGGACAGAGGAAAGGCCAGCGGCTCCCTGTCCCATGCGTAGGCCTGAACTCAGGGATCTATACCTTCACTGGCCCAGTCTCATGCTGCAGGTGAGGCTTTAGGGTCCCACAGGAAAGGGCAGAGTGAGGCTGCGCAGCAACTTTCACAACCTGTAAAGGGACTATTTAGAAGCATCCGGTTAAATTGCTCCACGTGCCAATGTGCGTCCTCCAGCAAGCTCCATCCTGCTGGTTATTAATGAGTGATGGGCTGGTGTCCCTCCACACCTATCCAGGGAACACAGCACCCACTGCCCATTGTCCTGTGAGATGGCTTCAGAATTGGAGGGTATTAGTAAAATTATTACAAACAGGAAGCACACATACACACATGCACAGCTAGTTGGATCTGCTTTTTATAACCTAGTTGAAAACCTGACCTTTTGAAATAGATGCTATTTTACCTCAGAGCATCTGCAACCTGTCTGGGTCGGATAGACTCAAATTTCCCATAAGTCCTATATTTACCTCACCACAGAAACCAGAGAGTCGAGCTGGGTGATGTGAATGATGG